TGAATCAAGCCTAAATTAGAAAAGGGCAATTTAGTCCAATTAACGGGTCATTATTCTAACTCAGATAAGAACATCAGGAAGAGTTTTACTTGCTCTTTTTATGAATTAATTGCTCATGAGTAAGAAAGGATTAAAAAGCAAAATTAGAAAGAAATTAGACCAGTTAAGCCAATTATTAAACCAAATTGAGGAAGTTAGAGCCGTTAATAGCGAGGATCCCGAAACTTGGGACTCTGACACGCTTTATAACACGGTCGAAAAATGTAAAGAAGTGATCAAGCTTTTAGAAGATAAAGTAATCAAAGGAGCCTATGATGAGTTTGGACAACCTTTAACGGAGGATGGTTTATGTTCCTTAGTAGATAGTTATCAAGAAGAATCAGACTTTGATGATGTTTAACAAGATAATGAGTAAGCCAATTATCCAGGAAGAAAATTTTTGCTCTAATCCTAGTCCTCCTTTGGGAAAAATAACTGGTCGAATTATCAAAAAAGAGCGAAAGAAAGTTTACAATAAAGAAAGTCCTTTTTATCAGCAAATTTACTACCGATTACAAATCTTAGATGAGGAAAATAAACTGCAAAGAATTTTTATTTATCCTAATTTAGTTAAAGAAGAAATATTTAGTCAACTGCTTACGCAAATTCAACTCAATAAGTGAGTTCATTTCTTTTGCCACAAGCTAGGAAAACGATGAATTTTACATCATTGAAAAGCGATAAATTAACTTTTTATGAATAATTTAATAATTTTTATCCTCGGTTTAGTCCTAGGAACAATAACCACAATTTTTGCTTTGCTCTATCTTTATCGAGTGAAATGTCCCAAGTGTAAAAAGAAAAAGTCTCTCAAAGAGATTATTACTTTTTCTGACCAAGATAAATGAGAAATTAAAGGACAAATTTGTAAGCAATGTGAGCAAGCCGAAAATAAAGAAACTATCGAGATATTTTAACTATCATGCCACTAGAAGAAAAAAGAATACTTAAAAAAGAACTCCAATTAAATTGTTCGAATTGTCAGACCCTTTATCAACTTTTAGAAACTCAGATCGGAAATAATGACCAATGTTCAGACAATTGTCTAAAGAAATGACAACAAATTTTAGGAGATTATCACGCTAAGGAATTAATGGTTGATTTAGCAAGACAAGAAACTAGCGAAAATGAATAACTTACCTAAATATCTTAATTGATTAAAAAATAAAAACCTTGCTCCAACTACGATTGCTCTTTATGAACGAGTAATTAAAAAGTATGAAGACAGGTTAATAAATACTACCTCTATTCAGCAACTATTTGAAAAGAACTTAACTAATTTTCAACCTAGTTATCTTGTTTTACAAACTGAAATATTTAAGTCCTACACTGGTTGATTGAAACTGAAAATTGATTGAGCTAAAATAGCAAGAATTATTCCTACTCAACAAAAGAGGTTTTTTAATACTCTCACGATTGAAGAACTGGAGTTATTGAAAAAGACTAGAATAGAGAAGAATTTAACCATTTATCAAAGAAACAGTTTAATTTTAGATCTCTTATTTTACTCCGGAATTAGAGTCCAGGAACTAATTAACCTTAAACATTCTGATTTTCAGCACAATTCAGGGAGAAATTCAATAAGAATTTTAGGAAAAGGTAATAAAGAAAGACAGGTTTTTTTACCGATTTGATTAACCATTAAGTTTGAAAAGAA